CCTCCCAGCCCCCACCAAGTCCTCCACCCCCCGCATACCCTGTTCCCACCCCCCTCCACACTCCTTCCCCGGGTGTGTGGAGCAGCAGAAATGATGACGTCACCACGGTCGCCAGGGCGACGGGGACGGATAAATCAGGCTGAGTGGGCGGTTGCCATGGTGCGCATTCTCCCGTTGCCACGGAGACTGGGCATCTGCTCCCTTTGTGCTGCCCGAGTGCCTTCCCCCTGGGGTCAAGGGGTATAGGGAGGCAGAAAGAGAGGTGGACACACCTCCAGGGTCCGAAGAAAGTCTGGGCCTCGGCCGGGGTCTCCTTCAGTGTAGGGTTCACCTTGGAGCTTCTCCGTGGGGTAGCCTGTCGCTCCTACTTTGTGGAATGGAGGCAGCTCTGGCTGAATAGCCCCTTGGCTGGGCATTGCCTCAGGACGCAGCTCTCGGGGGCAGCCCTCTTCTTCCCTCAGGAGAGCAGCACCTATTCCTGGCCCAGGCTTCCAGGCCCACCCTGTGTCTGGAGCTTTGCCGCATGAGCACCTTCCTTCACATCCTCTTCCACTGCCTCTAGTCCCTCAGGTCCTGATCCCAGGGGTGATTAGGCCCCGTGCCTCCTTCCCAGCTGGGGAAAAGCTGGGGTCTGGGGCTTGCTGACCTGGAGAGGGCTGTCGGGTGCGCAGGACCGAGCAGCTGTTTCTCTTCTCTCCTGTAGATGAACAGGCCGATCCAGGTCAAGCCAGCCGACAGCGAGAGCCGAGGAGGTAGGTTCCGCGCCTTCGGACCTGGTCCCTCTCCTTCCACTTCAGGCCAGGAAGGGAGAAGCTGAAGGGCAGCATCTCCTGAGGAAGGGAGCCGGACAGTTCTAGAGTTTCCCCAGTCAGCGGGGCTAGGAGTCAGGTGGTCGCGGGGTGAGACCCAGCCCACTCTAGACATGGAAAAGCTGAAGGCCAGACACGTGCAAGTCCTTCAGGGTGGGACGAGCACCCTATGTACCTGTATCCCCTTCCCAGCCATCACCCCTTCACCCCCGAGCCGCTGGCCCCTGTGGGGGGGCAGCGTCATTAGGAGGTGAGAGGCCAAGAAAGCAGCCACAGGGCCCTGACACGCCCCTTCCCTGTGCCCTACCCCAGAAGACCGGAAGCTCTTTGTGGGGATGCTAGGAAAACAGCAGACAGATGAAGACGTCCGCAAGATGTTCGAGCCGTTCGGGGCCATAGACGAGTGCACTGTGCTCCGGGGCCCAGACGGCACCAGCAAAGGTAGCCGCCAGCAGCCCCTCCGCCTTCCGGTCCCGGCAGTGGGTCCCCCAGTGGCCCTCAGAGTCGACAACACTCACCTCTTTCCTCCTCCATCTCCAGGCTGCGCCTTCGTGAAATTCCAGACCCACGCAGAGGCCCAGGCCGCCATCAACACCCTTCACAGCAGCCGGACGCTGCCGGTGAGCGCCGCTCCCTGTCCCAGGCCCCTCCTGCCTGCCTGGCCCAGGAGAGGAGCCAAAGCTCTCAGGGTCGCCTCGGTCACAGAACACCGCCCTCTCCTCTCCCCACCCCACTTCCCGCCTGCTCCATTCCTCGGCCCCCTCCCACCTCCCACCTCCCACCTGCCTCCCCCCCACTTTTGCCGGGTTTCTGTCCCTCCTGTGTGTTGACTCCCATGACCCTGCTCTTTGGCGTCGGGTCAACCCAGTGTACTCTGAGAAGAGCAGACCTCTGAAGCAGAATCGCTGGCCGTAGGGTGTGGGCTTCCCTTCCCTCCCACCTGCCTGGCAGAGGCTGGGCAAGCACTGAGTGTGGGCAAGGAGGTGGCAGGGGGCAGAGAAGCTGCTTCAGGTGACCCGAGGCCCCTTTCAGCTCTGAGCGACTCGGATTCTACAGCAGTCCTTGCAGATGTTCGTCTTTATTTCTGGTCTTTATTTGGCTCAGTGCAGTATTACAATTTGTGGCTGTGTCCACTGGGCACATCGCAAGGTCACAGGCATGGGGGCAGGTATAAGGGAAGTGGGCAGCTCTAAGGTGAGATTAAACATTTGTGTGGCTGATCCCCTAGCCAGGGCGGTTCCAGGGCAGAATCCTCCTGCAAGAGCCAGCGGCGCCTTCCTTTTCCCGTGGGCCTTGCACGCTTTGAGCACACGACTCCACGTTCCCAGCGCTGTCTAAGTGTTTGCACGTCTCAGCACAGGCAGAGTGGAGTCAGAATCTCACTATTAGATGCAGGCCGGGCTGTGGGGGCCGGGGATGAGGCCAGGTGTGGGCAGCAGGGAGAGAGATGCTGACCGTCCCGCTGCACATGTGGGCCCACTCCCAGGGCGCCTCATCCAGCCTGGTGGTGAAGTTTGCTGACACAGAGAAGGAGCGAGGTCTCCGCCGAATGCAGCAGGTGGCCACCCAGCTGGGCATGTTCAGCCCCATCGCCCTCCAGTTTGGAGCCTACAGCGCCTACACCCAGGCCGTAAGTGCTGCCCTCGCTGCTCCCCCGTCCCCACATCCGGCCAGGCCCCGGGGTCGGGAGGGAGGCAGCCAGCGTGGGCGCCCGGCCCCACTCTGCTCTCCTCCCACCCCAGCTGATGCAGCAGCAGGCGGCCCTGGTAGCGGCTCACAGTGCCTACCTCAGCCCCATGGCCACCATGGCCGCCGTGCAGATGCAGCACATGGCCGCCATCAATGCCAATGGCCTCATCGCCACCCCAATCACCCCATCCTCAGGTACGACGGGAAAGGGCCGGGCACGAACAGGGCAGGGCCAGGCGCTACAGCATGGCGGGGGCAGAGACGGGAAACTGCAGGGGCCCAGAGAGGCTCGGGGTCAGAGAGCAGCCCGCCTGCTCCCATGTGCTCTCTCAGCCTTGCTGACCGGTTCTCTGCGTGTGTGTGTCTGCGTGTCCGCTCTGTCTCTGTGGCTTTTTCCTCCCCAGGAACCAGCACGCCTCCTGCCATCGCTGCCACGCCCGTCTCTGCTATCCCTGCTGCCCTGGGCGTCAATGGCTACAGCCCGGTGCCCACCCAGCCCACTGGGCAGCCTGCCCCTGATGCTCTGTATCCCAACGGGGTTCAACCCTACCCAGGTGGGGCTCCCTGCCTGACCGCCCCGCCCAGCAACCTTTGGCGGCCACGCCCACTGGTGGCAGCCGTGACTCTGTCCCTCTCCAGCCTCGGGTTCGAGGTGCTTTATCCTGCTCTCATCTTGGGCAGGAGTGCTCCTCTTCTCAGCCAGGGACACTGAGGCTTTCAGAGGCAAACCAACTTGCCCAGGGTGGCCAGCCAGGCACGAACTCAAGTCCTCCTAACGTCGGGCTCTTTCCCCTCCCACCGCGTTCGTTCCCTTCTCACCTCACACTCATGCCTGGATGAGGCTCACCCACCGCTGTCCTCTACTTGCGAGGTGCTGCTGGGGCTTCTGCTGTGCCCCAGGCCCACTCACGTCCGTGCTGCTCTCTCCAGCCCAGAGCCCTGCGGCCCCTGTGGACCCCCTGCAGCAGGCCTACGCGGGGATGCAGCACTACACAGGTGAGGCCCCAGCCCAGGCTCCTGCCCCGGGGGTTGAGTGGCGGGAGGGAAAGGGGCCCAGAAACTGGGTCTGGGCTTCTCAGCTCCCTGCCGATCGCCCCTTCAGGCTTTCCTGACAAGACCATACCCATGAGGATGAATCTTTAGGGGCAGATCTCACAGGGGCCTGGGGCCACTCCTTCCCGGACAACCTCTCAGCCCTGTGGATTCCACTGGCCTGGGCTGGGAGAGGACAGAGCTGACTGGAGGATTCATGGGAGTCCCATTTGCTCTCTCTGTTCTCCTCAACCCAGCAGCCTACCCAGCAGCCTACAGCCTGGTTGCACCTGCATTCCCACAGCCTCCGGCCCTGGTCACTCAGCAGCCGCCCCCACCGCCCCAACAGCAGCAGCAACAGCAGCAGCAACAGCAGCAGCAACGAGAAGGTGCCACTTGGGTCAGGGTCCTCACAGCTGAGAGCCTTGAGGGACGGGAATGCCCTGGTTGTGGGCTTAAGGGCGCCCAATGGCCCTGGGCCACGCCCAGTTCTTACCCAGCTTGTGGCAATGAAGGCAAGTGGAGAGGCAGTGTGGGGACCCTGGTTCACACTGCTGTGCTTCAGCTGGGCTGGATGGTGCCCCCAGGACAGGCTGTTCCTGCTGCCCCAGTCTGTGTGTGCCAATCACTGAGCTGTCCCATCTACTGCCACCTAGGCCCCGATGGCTGCAACATCTTCATCTACCACCTGCCACAGGAGTTCACAGACTCAGAGATCCTCCAGATGTTTGTACCCTTTGGCCACGTCATCTCAGCCAAAGTCTTTGTTGACCGCGCCACCAATCAGAGCAAATGTTTTGGTAAGAATAGCATAACCCAGGGCCGGGGATTTAGTTCAGTGGTGCCGCTGCCTACCTCATAAGAGCAAGGTCCTGAGTTCGATCCCTGGTAGCAAAAAAAAAAATAGAAAAAAAAAAAAAAAAAAAAAAAAAAGCATAACCCAAAAGACAAAGTATGGGTGTGTGTGTGTGTCACTCCAAATTAGGACATGCTCTTATGCATTTGGGGGCATTATGGTCACAACAGACCAAGTATCTGAAACTCTGAGTATCCAGGGGCACAAAAGAGCGATCGCTGACACAATCAGCAACTCTTCCTGCAGAATTCCATAACCCCATCCCTCACTCTAGGGTCCAGCCTTGGGGCAGAGGCGCAGTGCAGTGACAGAGCACATGCTCAGCATCAAACAACAAAGAAACAAGACACCAGCTGGATGTTTGTTTTATGAAGTCTGAAATAGGTTCAGTTTAAGGGTGATTGATTTTTTTAAGGGAGTAAGTTTTATTTGCCTTCACATTTGTGGAAAGGCTGCTTCAAAAACCATCTAGGCGTGGTGGCACACACCTATCATCCCAGCACTTGGGAGGCTGAGGCAGGAGGATTGCCATGAGTTTGAGGTCAGCCTGGGCTCCATAGTGAGACCCTTCCTCAAGCAAAACAAAACCCATTTAGGGGTCTAGAAGTGTTCTCAAAAGTAAGGTTAGAGCTATATGGGCTGAGGAAGGAGCCACCCTGCAAAGAATGCTGGCAAGAATATCCCACTTAGTTTTTGTGAGTGGCTTGACTAGATTCATCTCTTCAATCCATCAATGAGTGAATTCCTTCTGAATGCTTACTTTGTGCCAGGCCATATCAGGGACACCTGGCAGAAATAGGGTGGTGCTGGGAAACTGGAGAACACGTCCCAACCCTCTGCAGGGGAGAGTAGGCTGGGGCTGGGCCTGATGCCTCTCTCACCTCAGGCTTTGTGAGTTTCGACAATCCAGCCAGTGCCCAGGCTGCCATCCAGGCCATGAATGGCTTCCAGATCGGCATGAAGCGCCTCAAAGTCCAGCTAAAGCGGCCAAAAGATGCCAACCGGCCCTACTGAGGGCCCCAGGTGGGTGCTGCTCCTGTCTCGTGCCCTCCTCTCCAGCCTGTGTATGTTGTAGCCAGGGCCCAGGAGTGCCCCCAGCCCCGACCCCAGGACTCCTGCTCCCACCTGACTCTGGGATGAGGTCCAGGACCTGGGGTGGCTCCCTTACCTGTTGGTCAACCGTGTCTCTCTTACACACACACACACACACACACACACACACACCCTGTGACCCTAGAAAGAACCAAACCTGCATCTGTGTCCACTCCCAGGTCTTTCATAGTATCTGGTCTTATTTGTCTGGTCAGTGTCCATGTTTCTGTGTATCTCTCTCTTTCTGTTTTCCTTTGGGTTGGCTGGAATTAGGGGAGTAGGAATGGGGGAAGAGGGGGCTGGTTTAGCGTACTGGAGGGTCCTAGAATCACTGGCTCCTGGAATCTGTTCTCCTGAGAAGTGGGTATACCAGGTCCTTGTTGCCCTGACCGTTGGGTGATTTTCTTAAGCAAAGGTGAACTCTGGGCAGGAGAGAGCACAGGAGAGACTGGGGAAGCCACTTCTAGAGCCCCTGGGAGTCACTCTGATTAGGTGGAGGAGGTTGGAAAGTTGTAATGTCTGTGAATTTTTCGTATCAGGACCCTCTGCCCTTGCTGTCCACCACCCCAAACTTAGGGCCACAGATCCGTGAGCCTTGGTTATTTTTGTGTCGTTTGATCTCCTTTGGGCCAGACCCCTGAAAAAACACAACCCAAGAACAATACCCACATTTTCTGTTTCTCCCCTTTCCCCCCAATCCTGGCTGCTTAACTCCCCCCACCCTGGGGGTCCCCCAGCCCAGGGCCTGTGTCCATTGTCGGCTGAAGCCCCCATCCCCGGACCCCTGCTCCGGGCCCCTGTAAGTTGCATGGAACGAGCGTGTTGTCTTTGGAGCCGATTGTTTGTTATTTGGGGAGGGGCCGCGGAGGGAAGCGCCCCCCAGCCCAGGGTCAGGGCCGGGGGCAGCTCGCGGGACGTGCTTGGTCAACAGTGGTTGGTGACTGTGGTCTGTGTTCTGTGCACTTCTCTTGCTTTCTTTGTTCCTTTCCAAAAAGGAACGAGAGCACTACCTGGGGGCTGGGGTGGTCTCTGCGAGACTCCCTCCCTAACCCCGTCCTGGTCCGCTGTGGCCTCTCCGCGGATGCTCCCTCTCTCCAGGTGTCTGTCTCCGATGCACCCTCTCCTTCCTTCTCTCGGCTCCTTCTGCCTGCCTGTTTGTCGCATTTCTCTGCCTCTCCCACCCCCCGGGCCTGTCTGTCTTCCACCCTTTTTCTCGTGGGTTGTTCGGTTATTTCCTTCCTCATAGCTTCCCTCCCCGTCTCCGCCCCTGCCCCGCTCTCGTGCCTGGTGGTGGCGGGGTTGGTCCGCTAGGGGCCGAGGGCTTCCGATGACCTGGCCTCCCCAGGCAGCGGGCTCTGGGTGCTGTCGCCGCCCTAGCCACCTCCCCTTCCCCAGGACGGCACCGGCCATCGTCCTCCCCCGGCGTCACCCGCGTCTCCTTCCTTCGCAGGTCTGGAGGTACCGGAGGAAGGGGCACCTCACTCCTCTTCCCGAGACTGGCCCGGCCCTCTGCACACATCCGCCCCGGGCCCTGACTGGGCTCTGGGGCAAAAGCTGCTTTATGGCCTTCGGGGCACAGGACACCGCCCCACCTCACCACCCGCCTCTAGAAGGGCCGTGGCTTTGCTTCCCTGGCCCCAAAGGTCTCTTTCTGCCCAGGCGCCCTTTTGGCCTTTGTGAGGGAGCAAGAACAGGCTTGAGGGTTCCGGGGTATCTGCCTTCTGCCGGGACTCCTGTGCCGGCTCTGCCCCAGCCAGCCCCCGCCAGCCTCCTCCCGAGGTCGGCTTCTCAGAAGCTGGCTCTCACCCCTCCACCCGCAGCAGATAGGATAACCCTGAACCTGGGCTCCCAGCCCTAAAACTCACTGCCTCTCTGCCCGTCAGCCAGAGACCCTCCTCGTCTCGCGAGGAAAAGACCTCCCGAACCCCTAAAAATGTTTACAGTCTCCGCTGGCCCCTCCATGTAAATACCATGACCACCGTGCGTTATCCAGCCCGCTCGGCCGGCCCGCCGGACGCTGCCATCTCTCTTTCTGGGAGTTTAGACAATTTGCCCTTGGGTTTTTTCTCACTCTTGATTTCTCCCTTTGGTTTTGGGGGGCGGGTGATTGGGTATGTGGGAGGAAGGGTGTTGGGAGGGACGAAGGGGTTTATTACCTGATGATTTTCTTTAGGCAAAGTTTTAGGGAAAGAAAGATGGGGTGGGGGTGGGAGTTGTAAGGGGAGACTGGGGAGTCGGTTTCAGACAGTTCTCTATGCTTAACTTATTTATTTATTGCATTTTACTTTTAAAGAGTTGGTCTTTTCTGTCTAAATAAAGAACGTTTAAAAGCAGCAGATAAGCGTGTTGGAAGGTTGGGGCCAGGGAGGGAGACAAGTCAAGTCCTCAGAGGTCCCTGCCTTGCTCTGCGCTCGCGGGGGCTCCCTCTGGCGTGTTCTGCGGGGCCGGGCAGAGGGCCAGCCTGGCGGCCTTCTCCTGGTCCTCCCTCCTGTCCCATGGAGCTGGCCGAGCCCCAGCGCGTTGAGCCCTGCTCCCCGAGAGCCTGTCGGGCCCTTTCACCTGCACTTCCCGAGCCGGGAGCAACTGCACAGGCAGGGAAAGGAGGCTCAGAGGGGCCCCCTCGGCCGTCACAAAGCCAGGAAGGGAAGGCTATAGAAACTGTGCCCACTTTGCCGGGCTGCGAGGCCCATTCTCCGGCTGCAGGAGTATGAAGCAGGCCACAGCAGTGACCCCTATGGGGCAGAAGGCGGCTGTGTCGGGCCCCTCTGGTTCCTAGATTCTTCTGTTTACTGCTCAGGGCCGGGCTCAGGAGGGGAGCACCCAGGGGGATTCGCCGACCTCACAGAGCTCGGCCACTTTCCTGTTGGCAGCCACCTGTACCCCAGCCCTTCTTACAAACTTGTCACCTTCCCGTCAGCTCACAAATACACAACCACGGATGAGCCCCAACTCACCCCACCTTTGCCCCACACTTCTGCCCCCTCTTAGAACCCCCTGTAGTTAAAAAGAGAAGCAAAGTGTCAAGTACCATGGAGACAGAAATCAGGAATGGGGCGTCATACAGAAGGAGACCTCAGGCAGGATTCTTAGCCAAATACAAAGCACCTGAAATCGGAATGAGACACCTGTGTGGAGGTCAGAGACGGAGAAGTGTGCGCCAGGTGGCGGCACAGGAGTGGGCATTTAGGGTTGGGAACACTCCCTTGAGACCCCTACTTCAGAACAGTCTGAGTCAAAACAGACACGGACCTAGAGCATCGCCCCGGAGTGGCCTGGTCTCGCGGATCCTCTCCGGCTGTGGGGCCAGTGAGCGGGATGACGAGGCAGTCTCCTCCGTGGCATCGCTCTGGACCTCAGGCAGCCAGGGCTGGCAGCCCCCACAGGAACGTCCACAGCGACCTTGTCTTTCCTCCTGTGACGCTCACGCGACGCTCAAGTCTTAAAGGCAGCACGAAGAGAAGGAAAACGGCTTTTCAAGGCAGAAGAATGGAGCTGGCAAGTTAATAGCTGTGAGGGGGAAGACTTTCAATCATGAAATCAAAGACAAAGATATCCTGAGGGGAGACCAGGGTGATGAGCACATGGCAGGAGAGAAACGGCCCCGAGAACAATCCCTTCAACGCGCTCTCTTTCTACGTTTTCAAAGCTTTCAGATGTGTACACATAATGCGGTGTCTCCATTTCCTCTGGGTTTCGGCCCTGCTGGCTTGACAGGCATGGCCCAACCTCCCGGGTTCCCTGTGTCTCCCTCTTCTCTCGCTAAAATTCCAAAGCCTCTCGTAGCCCTGGCTTCTAGTATTTGAGACTGAAGGAGTTTCCACTCGTGCTACGCCTTGTTCTCTCCCGGATCTGAAAACTTTCAGCTCTCACAAAACCTTCCAGTCTACTTCAGCAAGAGCCAGCCTCCTGTTCTCCATAATGCAGTTTCCTGCCAGTGTGTCACACCGTCACCTGCTGGATAAAAATGAGCCGCAGCCACATACTCCTAGTCGTCTAACTCTCCTCCTAAGCCAAGAGTCAGTGTTAGCTTTTCTCCGTCCTCCTGGTCAGTGGCCATCAGCGTGTTCCCGCTCAACCCCAGTTTGGATGACACCCTTCCTCCCGCAGCCTGCATCCCACCCAGCCGCCGAGCCCTCCTGTGTCCACCTCTACAGTGGCTTCACTGATGCTGTAAAAGTTAACTCACTGATATTTACTGGTTATCTACTCTGCCTTCTCCGTCTCCCTAAGCAGGGCCCAGAACACTAGAAGTTACTTAGTAACCGATTCAGAAACCACACTGGATGTCTGTGCTGGATTTCCCACCTGTGCCAAAACCGGAGGAGTCCAAAGCTAAAACCTTTTCTACTTCCAAATCCAAACTCAAAATGTTAACTATGTGTTTTCCACCTACACAGATGGAAAGCCTTAGTAGTCTTTTACAGCTCTCACAGACATTGCCACTAAATCATGAAAAATTTCATGTCCACAGCTCTCCTTGTATCCGTTTCCCTTCCTTTTCAATTCTCACCGCTTCTACTTAATAACTGAATAATCACAGCAGTCTCACCGGCCCTTCTATCCTGTAGTCTGAAACATCAATCTTCCTAAACTGCACCTGGTAAAAGCCCTTTTTATTGCTTCCTCTAAGGTAGAGCAGCGCCCGGGCATCAAGTTTCTGTCAAGCCTCCCTTCCCTCTGCAGCCCTGCACATGCCCTCAGTTCTACTTGAACAGGACCACTGGTTTTTCCCCGGACGAGGCAGATCCTTGACACCCATGCCTTTTCCTTCCTCCTTTGCTACAGTCCTGGCAGCACCACTGGCTAAGCGTTCAATCCTGCTTGCTCGTGTTCAGCGATTTACCTTAAATACCGTACACGTTCTTCATAAAGATTTCCTTCAGGCCCTCACCCACAGGTCTCTCCCGACTTCTTTTCCAGTGCTTCCGCCGCTGTTTGTCACGGTCGTTTGTAAACGTCTCCTGCTGTGCACTGTAAGCGAGCAGAACGTTTCTCTTCGCCTTTATGTCTGTGGCAGGAGCTAACACAGCGCCTCACACATGGTAGATAATGAATAAATGCTTGTTGACTTTAACCTCCATAATTCTGAGCTTGTAATTCCGCTTTCTATTTCTCTATGGATTCTTTCCTTGTTAAAGAAAAAAATTCTCCCATAGCATAGCAGTTTTTATCAGATTCCAATATTCAAGGCTAGTGGCTGGGTGAACGAGGCCGTGAATAACGTCTCTCCACCAAATGCCAAACAAAATGTCAAACTGATTCTTGCTCTTATGGTCATTGACTAAGGGACAAAACCACATTGATCGGGGGCTATAAAAATATTAAGAATGTGAAGATTTATAAAAACAATTTTAAAACGTTTGACCCACTCCAAATGTGAGTTTTCAGAGCAGACTGCCCACAAAGTCAAGGAGAGAGAAGGAGGTGAACAGGCCCGGCTCCTGAGACTCCTGTGAAAGTGAGGGCGTAGGCACAGGGAACTCTGCCCACCGGGGCGCCCAGTCGTGTCTGGGCATTCACTCGGGGTGACGAGTTTCCACTTTGAGACCCCCAGGACAAAGTTCCTGAGCTACCGAAAAGGGGAAAAGCACACAGGCTGCTGAGATCTGTTCAAGGGCTCTGCCAGCCTTCATCTGTAACCCAGCTGGGAAAGGCGTCCTGTGACTCTAGAAGGGTCGGTGCCGGCTGGCAGGCAGCAGGGGCAAGCGCCATCAGCTCTAGAACTGAGGCAGGAAAGGGAATTTTAAAGAAGTCACTGCACACAGAGGTGCACAGCACAGCACTATTTCTCCCTTCCCCACCCTTCCCCACCCATCTGCCCTCCGAAGACGCCCCGCTGAGGAAACTGGTCAGAGGCTCCTTCTCATCTTCAAGTTGGCCATTCTTACTCAAGTCTCAGAGTTTCCTGTGCTTCTTCCCACACACCCCAAAGGATTTGTAGTCTAGGAAACAAAAGCATTGTTTCATCAATAAATCAATTTATTTAAAAGAATATGTTACAATTAATTACACTAAGTGACTTTACCAAACAGTTTTAGAGTGGTTAGCTCTAGAACAAGGAATGAAAGAAACACTGTTAGCCATTACATGTCTGTGTATTTTCTCTTCACATTTCTTAAATCACAAATAAAAAATACAAGATACCGCAGTGAAAATACAATTAGAGTTTCTCTCAAATAAATTAAAAGTGTGCATGACCTGGGAAAACCCGAAGCCCAGCTGACCAGCTCAGAAGGGGCGTGGTAGGAACCGGCATCGGAGGCTGGCGGTTGGCCGAGGGCCTCGCCCCTCACTTCCGCTTCAGGTCTGCTCCTCCCCAGAGCCCTCACTTCCAAGACACCCGAGGTTACCGCTGACCAGCGAACGGCGGCTGCACCGGCAAGCTATGCCCAGGGCGGGGAAGAGAGCAGCAGGTGCGACGCGAAGACGTCCACGGAAGCCTCCCGCTGCCTGCGCTCCCTCCTTCCCGCCCTGGGTAGTAATCAGCCGCAGGCACGGCCCTCTGAAAGGAAGCCTGCGGGACCCAGTGAAGCTGGTGGAGGATGAGCAGCACGCCGGGGTCTCCTGCTACGACAGTCCCGCCAGACAGTGAGAGAGAGCGAGGGCACAGTGGCCCTTCAGGCCACCTAGCACGCAGCTCCTGTGAGGAGCCAGGCCCATGGTAAATTCGAGATGGCGCAGAGGTCTGTCACACCCCGTCAGGGCCCTGTCCAGCTGCTCCAAGCACTGGGTTTGGGGCTACGAGAGAAAACCCAAAGCTACGGCCCAGGTAACTAAAGGATGAAACGAAATGGGCCAGCATGAGGACACTGGAATATTTATCTAACTCCTCACGGAAAGCTCTGTCCAGGCCTAGAGCCACCCTGAGCACACACTTATCTGTACCAGTATAGAGCTTATGCCTAGGGCAAGGGCAGGGCAGAAAGATAGAGAATCAGGTAAAAGCATAAAAAGCAGAGAGCTCAAAGTATGGCCCAAGGGAAGCTTTCTGCAGGGGCAGGTTTCTCAGGGCCTCAATTTTCTCTTGTTCCACAGAAACTCTAAGCTTCTGCCCCAAGGACAGAAATCCAGTGCGTGGGGCGGGGGGGTCGATAGTGGGAAACCAGAAGCCCTCTTTTTCAGTCAAGCTGTAAAGGAAGACTGGGTAGATGTCTCCCTGGGCAGAAGCCAGGACGAAGAAGAGTAGTAGGGACAGAGAAACAAAGTACACGGTGAGGGGAAGTGGAGTCACACCCGACGCTGCTTCACGCACAGAAGAGCCGACCCTGGGGACCCACGGCTACAGCGACCTCTGCCCCTGCTGGAAGCTGGAGTGAGACGGGAGAAGGCACCACCCTGTAAGGCCTCCACCCTGCCGCGGCTGGGTGCCGCTAGTGGGGTGGCCTCGGGAAGCCAGTCCGAAGCAGGTCCTGCCAACAGGGTCCCTCACCCACCCTCCGGACACCAGGGGATGCAGTGCAGGAAGAGGACGAGCACCACGCACCACTCTAGGGGCCTCCGAGTCCTTGTGTCTCGTATCTAGCGGCCAGCCCTCGGGCCGCCATGCAGGCTCCGGACTCACTGCTGCTGTTTTTATAGTCTGAACGAAGCTGGTGCCAAAAGCCACAAAAGCCACTTCAGCATCTTGGAGCGAGAAATCAACATAACTTCTTTTTTAAGGGCCTTTGGCTCATTATTAAATTCATTTAAGCCAAAAGAAGAAGTTGATCCCATATTAAATAAAGTCTTCAAAGCAGGGATTACCCTCTTCAATGTTAAGCATTCAGCACTCTGGTGTTTTGAAACCTGTGATTCTTCCTGCTTTGGAGAAGTGGGGAGGATAGGATGTTTTATACGATGCCACACCTCCCTGCGGGCCCAGGGCCACTAGGATAACCATGAGAAACAAAGAAAAATGGCCGCATATTGATCTGCGTAACAAGTTACAAAAGAAAACTTCAAACCACCCCAACATGAATTCTGCCTGCCTCCCAACTCGACAAGGCAGAGGATGCCACCCTGTGGAGGTTTCTCTTTAGAAGAGGAAAGGCAGACCCCACCCCCAAGACAGTCAAAGATCTGCTGCACCTGAGCCTGACCTGGTGCCCTTATGTAATGGGTACAGAGCTCAGGGGCTGGGGACGTTGCCTGACGCATCACCCTGGCCTCTGACCCTGGGATGTAGCTTGTAGGTCTCCAAAGGTCTAACTGCAAGGTCAGAGGGGCAACTCGCTGAGGAGCACAAAGGTTTCCTTCAGTCTCCTTTTACCCAGGTGGAGGTGCAGCTAAACTGATCATACCCCACCCATTCCTGGGTCCTCCACTGGCTTGAACAGGGCTATGGCTTAGTTGGCACAGACCACAGACTAGTCTAAGTTTCCCTAAGGTCTTGAAGATACTGGTAGGTCCCTCCCCAGTGCTGCTGTTAAAGGATGTCACAGAGAGGGTAACAGTTACGGGTGCTTACTGTTCAGGAACGGAGTAGGTAAAGCCTTCCGTACACAGAACACTGCTTCCTTTCTTTTCCCTCTGCAAACCCAACCTTTATGCCTAAGGTATTAGCTTTACCTTTGGCCCCTAATGCCACCCCTGCTGCAGAAAAGCCAAGATCAGCAGTTACTACCACGAAGTGTTTCAGGTTCCTGCGGTATCAACCTCCCGAGCCCACGCTCACCTCTGCTCTGGGCAGCGGAGGAGAAGCACAGCAGGGGCCCCCAGGAAGCGGGAAGGAGACACAGAGCTGGCCAGAAGCCATGAGCGGGAGAGATGGACCAGGAAACTGCCTGGAAATCAAGAGACCACACCAGGTCTTCAGACTCTCTCTGCAGATCGCAGCCCTGTGCCCGTGAGAAACACACCTGATTCTCCTCCCAGAGCCCTCTTGAAAGATAAAGACGCTACGCTCCTTGCTCCTCAGACTCGACGGCAACCCAAGAGCCAGAAACTGCATTCAGTACAAAAAAAGGGGGAAAAAACCCAAGCAGGTTGTAAACTTTTCGAGTCCTTCATGAGGAGAGGTATTTTCCCTGTAATTTTTTTTTCCTTTTTAAAGTTTGTTTCAAAATAAAGAGAGCAAGAGAGAGGTCATGAATTCTAGTGAAAGGTGTGTAAAAACACAAGCTAAAAAAGGTACTGCCATCAATATGAAATTTAAAAAGAAATATATATATGTATATACGTGCAGCTAATTTGTGTATATATAACTTTTTACATACATACATATATATGTCTGAACAGTGCAAATGGATGAAGTTCATAGTTCCAGTTTTCAAAATATAGTACAAGGAGAGTCTGTTGGTATGCGGCCCAGGTGAGAGACAGACACCTCTGGCGAGTTGCTGGGCTTATTTCCTTTTCTGCCTTATCTCAGTGGACTTATGGTGCTAGCCAATCTGCTGTCCTCCACCAGCTCAATTCGAGGGAGTTATTAATAATATCTAGTTTAGGGGATCTGAACATAACGACTGTTTTCCTTTAGCTTTCCTTTTGTGTTAATGGTTATGCTGTCTGACACGGAAGATGTAAGGGATAAGAGGATGAAGGCGAGAAGAAGGGAAAGGGACAAGGAAAGGCTAGGTGGCCACATCCCTCTGCTGTGACCTCGCCATCTGGAAAATATTCTGAAAGGGAAAAAAAAAAAAGTTATTGGGAATCCACATCCACTCTATTCTCGACAACCCTCAACCAGAGCTAAAATGGCAACTGGGCGACCCTATGGGACTGGCCTCTTCTCCCACAGGATTTCCCACCAAGAACCACAGCCTTTCAGAGCTGGGAGGACTCTGAGTATTAATCACCCAGCTAAGTCTTCCCGTTTTACAGGAGAGAAAAGTCAGACTTAATGGAGATTGATTTAGCCAAAATTAGAGCTAGGAGGAAACTTAGATCGGATTCCCACAGCCCAGTTTTCTTTCTCTTTCTCTTTCTCTTTCTCTTTCTCTTTCTCTTTCTCTTTCTCTTTTTCTTTCT